TGTTTTTTTCATATCATACTGCGCTTATAATTTTTCTTGTCTTTCGCTCCAAAATGACATTTTTCAGAAATAATTCCAATCTCTCTAAAACCTCCCCCTAAACCCTCTCTCTCTCTTTCTTTCTTTCTTTCTTTCTTTCTTTCTCTCTTTCTCTCCGACAATTCTCATTCTCTCGCGCATTCCCGAGGAAAAAACTGGCCTGTAACCATTGACAAATAAAAAAAATTTATTACGAAGCCTGTTTCTGATGTATCGACTAATGTACAAGTAGATGAATACTCGCTTTTCTTTAATACTCAAGCAGGGTTTTCTATATTTCATTAACTTGTGTATCAATGTCAAAAAAATTCTCTTCTATAATAAATTTATATTGATTATTATTACTATTTTTTTATATATATTGACAATCAGTGGTTGAAATCATTTTTCTTTTGTTTTGTTAAATATTTCTAATGAAGGAAAACAATTATGCTATATTTTTATGTGATTGATACACAAGTGAATTTGATAATTCAGTGCAAGTTACAAAGTTGTCTCTAACACTAAGCTGAACTTGCTCTATAAGGAAGTCAGTAATCGATTTGATACTTAATGATTTTGGCATTGTTTTTTCTCTCTTGTATACAGTTTCATTACTTATTTCTTTTTCAAAGAGCAAACCATTCTCTCTTTTTTATCTCTTTCGTTCTCTCTCTTTTTAACACACTCTTGCTTTTTAATTTTAAATTATAAAATTTCATGAAAATTTGACAAAAAAGAATGCCTATCAGACAATGCACGTTTCTCTTTTTTTTTTTCTGTCCAATCTAGTCTTCGATAACAAATGTCGATAATTTTCTATTTAAATTTTTTTTCAGAATTCCAAATTGAGAGCCGGAATTTTTTTCTAAATCCGGCTCTCAGATTTTGAATCTAAATTTTTATTTTTGTCTCAATTCGAATTTATTTCGGAATAATTCTGTTCTTTTCTAAAGTGAAATTCTGCTTTGAAAAAAGAGAAAAATCATTGTTAGGGAAAAACATTTATTCTTGTATATTAAATATTAATATTTAAAAAAAATTTAATTAAGTTGTCTAAAAACTAATTTATAAAGTGGTGAACTTTCATAGAATTTCTTATGTAAAGAAAAAAAAAGAAAAAAAATTTTACTTTTGATACAGCACATAAGAAGAAATTAATAATAAAGAAATAAATATAAATTTTAATATTAATAAAAACAGTGAAACGAAATAATTAATTAATTAGAGAAATCGACAAAAAAAATGACTTTTTTCGGAGTGTAAAAATTTAGATTTGAATAGAAATCCAACTGGTTCGTTAATTTTCCACAACAACTTGAAACTGAAAAAAATAGATCGAAATATCTTCATCTGTATTTATTCCTAGTTTGGACTCTTGCGAATTACTTTTAATAAATCGTGAATCACTGAATTTTTTCTTCAAAACCAAAAAAAAGAAAAGAAAAAAAAACTTGTCTCTAATTGCCGGTAAAATTTCATCTCATCTTTTCCCCGTATTCCAACATCGTTTACTATAAAGTCGATATCGTTATGAGTTTTTTGTTAAAAGTTAATTAGTATATAGGTACAAAGTCAGATATTAATTCATTTGTTCGTTAATATATTAATGTGAATGTGATCCATCTTGTCTTATATATATGTAGATGTGTGATCTAAGATTGAGCATGCCTATTTACAAATCGGCACTGCAAGGGTTAAAATCATTTTTTTATTTTTCACACATAGTTTATTTAAAATAATGATAATTTTTTTCAAGTAAACATCTTTTTATACACTGGTAAACAATTTAAATTCTTTTTTTTTATTATTTATTACATATTTATTAACCATTTATTAATAATTAATTATTTATATTATTTATTGAATCAACTAATTTCACTTTTATCTTTTATGTGATTTTTCTCAATGGGCTCGGAATTTTTCTTTATTGCTTTATTATATTATATTTTATTTATTTATAATTTTTTTTACAAATAATTTATTAACAAGTAGAGAACAATTTTTAAATATAGTTAAATCAATAGAGAACAAGTTTTAAATACTCCAATAAATAGAGAACAATTTTCAAATAAATAAATATAGAACAAATTTTAAAAAGAGGAAAATTTTTTTTCAGTTATTCCGAAATAATTATTTTTTTTTTTACTTTGTGAGAAAATTTAATACTCTAATTTAAATTGACATTTTGATTTAAATTCAAATGTAATTAAGAATTTTCTACTTTTGTAAAAAGTAAAAATAAAAGGTTAAAAAGTAGATAAATTTTTTTTAAATATTGAATTTCAAATAGTTTATATATTCGTTACTTTTGGACAAATTGTAATTAGAATTGCACTTGTAATTACAAGTGCAATTTACTGTTGAATTAGTTGATTCAAGGGATTTTTATAATAAGTCAGGAAATTTTTTTTTCAAGAAAACAACACTTTTTAGTAAAAAGAAAATTGAAAGAAATATTTAATAGTTTAATTTTTTAATCAACTATTCTTTCTTATTTGTTAATTCAAAATTTCACGTTTGTTAAATTTTTATTACTTAAATATTAAGTAAATTAAATATTTAGTGAATCAAATAGTAAATTAGGTAATAAGTAAATAAACGAAAAATAATTAAAAGTTAATATTAAATAAATATTAAGGAAATTAAATATTTGATAAGTCAAGTGTTAAATAAATAAATAAATAAAAAATAATTGAATGCAAATACTAAATAAATAAAACATTTAATAAATTTGTGGGTAAATAAAAAATAATGAAATGTAAATTTAAATTAATTGAAAAGCAAATTGAAAGTAAATGATAATTGATTAAATAGAATATAATAAATTATTTGAAAATTGAAATCGAAATAGAAATAAAAATAAAAATTGAAAAACATAATTTCGATTGAAACTCTTGCTATGCCATTTTGTTGAATTGAACAAAGCATAGCACATTCTTATTGTGATTACAAATAATATATTTATACATCGTCATTATCATTCTTCAATATACATATATCCTCTCATAGTTTATGTTACATACATGTGATGTGTCTGATGTAGAATGAAACATACACGTTTCATTTTTCTTAAAAATAAAGAAATAGTCGGTGAGATTTTTTTTATTCACTAATTTCTATATTCTTTGCTTCATTAAATTTTATGATTCAAAAAATGTTCCCTTTTGAACTTGAAAAGAAAAACTTATTAGCAACATTATGACAATATTACGCATAGAGAGACAATTATAAAAAAAAGAAATGAAAATCGAAGACATTATTTTTTTTTCCTTTCTAGAAATTTTTTCTTGACACTGTTTCAGAAACTGGATATGCAAGTTTATGTTTTTTTTCAAGCGTTAGTGTTTTAACGACAATTTGATTTTCGAAAATGGACAAATTTGTTTGAAGAAACATTTAAATATAGATTTTTTTGTTTGTTTATAAATTAGAATATTGTAATGTATATTATTATTTAATCAAGATTTGATTAAATTTTCAAATTGCGAAAATCAAATTGACGTGTGAATAATTGGCAGATTACAAACTGAATAATGTGATTTACAATAGTTTCGATTATCCACTTGTTTTTATCGTTACGTTTTTTTTTCTTTGTGATATTCATTTTTCAGTGTGATCTGTCTTCTGACTTTTTTTTTATATATAATAATATATAGGTATATGTTTGAAAAATGTTCATTTAGAAATCATCTTAGTATTTATAATACACTATTCTGTTTTCTTTCGTTACACTTGAACTTCACGTGAGTAAAAAAGCTTGTTTTTTTTTGTTTAAATCTTGTCACTCTCTACGGTAAGCACATTACAGACAATATTTCTTTTTTTTATTTATTTATTTTTCTGAATCTTAATGATTCGCACTGACAGTCCGTTTAGTATAAGAAATTATTATATCTTTAGAAGCTAGAATGGACACTATTTTTTTTTTGCAATTAGTTTACTTGGATTGTTTCTAATTGTCGTTTTTTTTGTTCGTTGCAAATACAGAAATAAATGTTTTCTTTTTGAGTCGAAGGATTGATTCGTTTATTAATATTTACCAGAAGATAAACAATTAGTGATTTTTGTTTTCTTTCGCAATATGTCTTTTCCTCCTATATATGAAAGTGAATTTTTTTTACATGATTTCTTTACAAATCGGTTTTTTTTTTTGATAATATACAATCTAGTATGAACATCCAGCGCTTGCTTTTCACAAAATGCAATCTGAAGTATTCACTCAGTCATTATTAAGTATGATAAACATTTCTTTTGAAAGAGAAAAAAATTTTAGTGAAAGGGAATTTTTTTAAACGAATTTTGTGAAATGGAAAAAAATGTGTGTTTGACTTTGATTGAAAAATTGAAAAATAAGGAAGAGTTTTGTTTGGAGAATATGTAGGAAAAGAAAATTTTTTGTAATGCGCAAACTTTCTTAATTTTTTTTTTAATATGCTTTTGGTTCGTATGGATATGTAAGAGTAGTCATGTGTGCAGGTACATGCAAACATTTTGTAAAGGAAAGAAAAATTGTTTACGTGATTATTTTCGTGAAAAATGTCTTAATAATTTCTTTGAGAAAAAGTAATTTACTTTTTATTATTTGAATTTGAAATTTAATTGTAAAAAAAGGAAAAGTGATTAGAGAATACAACTTTTTGGAAATAACTGGATTTTCTGATTTGGAAGTTTTGAAATTTAACTTTAAACTTAAAAAATTTTTAAACACACTGAAAAATATTTATTTGATTCAAATAACGGATTACTTGTGTCTACTATCAATTAAATATTTACTTTGAATCAAATAATTTTTGTTTAAATCAAATAAATTGTATGTTGTTTGAATCAATAATTTCATTTGAATCAAATTTTTTTTTCAGCGCATTGATTAAATAAAATTCAATAAAGTCTGTAATTTTTTTCAAATATATCAAAATTGAAATTGTAATTGAAAATATTTTTAAGATTTTCTATTCAGTTATTAAAAAAATTGAGAGAAGTTGAAAATTTTTAATAAATTTATTTATTTGGTGAGAGCAATTTCTGTTTTAAAGAAAAATAAAATCAAAATAGTTCTACATTGAGATAATAAATATAGTTTTCAAAGTAGACAATAAATAGTTTTGAAAGAAGACAATAAATAGTTTTCATAATTGTTTTCAAAGTAGATAATAAATTATAAAATGTAGAAAACGGAAAAAAAGAAATAATTGTGAATTCGTTGACAAGATGTATAATATTATTATGTAGCTTAAAAGCCACGTTCGGCTAAAATAAATAAGCTCGCGATGCGACGCATTGAAATTAGTTTATCACATTATTATTTACAGTAGTTACACATACTGCGACTAAGACGTCTTCAATGGAATATATTGAAGATTTTCTTTTTATTTCGAGATATTTTTTTCGGCTCCCAATTAATACATGCATACAAGTTTGCTAGTTTTTAAAAGTCTTTGCACGACGTCACAAATTATATATACAAATATTTTTTTAACACTCGAGTTTACCTATACAATATACATAATTCGAATTGATTTTCGCGGATTTTAATTGTACCTATAATCGATATTAATTTTCTTTTTATTATTTATATTTATATACTTTACATAAACAGACTTTGTGGCTCTCGTGAGGGTCACAATTTGTTTTTTTTTTCTCAGTTCAGCTCGACGCCAGGACATATTGTTTGACAATAGCCAAAAAAAAAAATGAAATTTGTTTATAGATTTTTACACCAAAGAAGCGATCACAATGGACGACTATTTCGAGAATCGTTCCTTTTATATTGTGTTTTTTTTGTTCACTCATCACACTTGAATTCACGATACTGTTTTCACTGTTTGATTCCCTTCAGTTTACTGTAAAGAAATAATAGAAAAATATATTAGTAGAGATATTGTAACTAAATAGCCATTAGGGAGATTTTTTTTCTTGAAAATAGAGAAAAAAGTAGTAAAATTTTTTTTAACGAAGGAAAAATTTGCATATGTTATGAAATATTTATTTTTGTTAAAATTTGATAATTTTTTCACTTACAGACTTAGAAGAATTTTAACTTAAAAAAATTTAAGTCAAACTTAAATAAATAGATGATAAAAATTACGTTTTTTTCGAAACTATTTTCAAGGTGAAAAAAAAACTCCGATGATGACTATTCTCTGTTGGATTCACGCGCTCGCTCAAATTTACACACATACAATGCACACATATTAGGGAGGAAATTCACATTGATAATTATTTTTTTTGTTGACAACACTAACTTACCTTTTTTTTGTGAAAAAAGATTTATAAAATTTTTCAAAATTTGAACCGAATTCGCAAAATCACCAACGACACCAACTTGCACGTGTCTACAGGGATGAGCAAAAGAATGTACTGTGAAAATGAGATACTGTGCAGTGTTAAAAAATTACAGTGAGTGAGAGTTAATTAAATAAGAAAAGCAATAAACTGACTACTTATAATTCTAATTATATATATATACAAAAAAAAAAATTGGAAAAAATAGTTTTGAAAAAATGTCAAAATGTAGGTACACAAACAAGTAAAGTCTCTATTTTTTATAAACGGCTTTTTTTAAATTGAGTTTAGATGAATTTTATTTCCTTCAAATAAAGTTTGTTTCGTTCAAATAAATTTTGTTTGGTTAAAATAAATACTTTCTTTGAACTAATTAAAATTTTATTTTCTTACATTCAGTTTAGATAAATTTTATTTTCTTCAAATAAAGTTTGTTTCGTTTAAATAAATTTTATTTCGTTCAAATAAATTTTGTTTGGTTCAAATAAATATTTTCTTTGAAATAATTAAATTTTTATTTTTTTAAAATTCAGTTAAGATAAATTTTATTTTCTTCAAATAAAGTTTGTTTCGTTCAAATAAATTTTATTTTATTCAAATAAATATTTTCTTTGAACTAGGTAATTAAAATTTTTATTTAAAATAAATAGTTTAGTATGCTCTGAATAAATTATTTAGTAGATTTGTCTCTGAGAGAAATATTTATTTTTATTTATTTCAAATAAATTTATTTGGTAAATAAAATTTTTCTCTGGATGTATTTAAATATGAAATAAAATTATCTTTCTTTTTTTATTAATAAAAACTTTAAAATAATAGATTCATTAATAAATGTTTGTATTTTAAAAAATAGAAAATTTTTGCTATCAACGAATTGTAAGTTTAAAGTATGAAAATTTTTTTTCTAAATTAATAGGAATATTAAAATGTTTATATAAAATGCAATTTGTCTCATCAAATTTTCAAGCCGTGTAAAAGGAAAAAATTATTCTCAGGTGATAAATTTTTTATAAGATCAGGCAATCAGAAAAACCAAATTAACTAACTGGCAACAACAAATTGAAAACTTGAAGATTCCACGCAGATTGTTCTTATAAATAATTTCGAGTTTCAATGCAAAGTAAAATTTACAAAATTTAATAATTTTTTTTATTGCTATAATTTTTTTTCTTTTTGTGGAAAACAGTATTTTTTTATTTTCGTTTTTATCGATTCAGCAAAATTGAAAATCATAATAAAATTTAAATTTTTTTAAATTGATGTTTGTTTAGATATATATGAAAGAAAATTTTGAATTTGCAGTTAATTAAACGTTTATTGACAAACAAAATCACAATTTGTTTGAAAATTTGTTAAAAATTTGTCATTTTGTTTATGGTTTTTAATTATAATTTTTTAATTAAATTATAATTTATAATAATTAGTATTTATGTTTATAATTCACAATAATCATAATTGTAAGTTATATTTTTTATTTATAATTCATAATAATTAATATCTGAATTATAATTATTTTGATTAAATTATTATTTGAATTTTATTTATTATTATTAATTTATTAATAATTTATTATTATTCATTTAATATCTGTACGACTGGAAAACATTTATTTGACTCAAATAATCGATTACTTATCTATTATTAAATAAATATTTGCTTTAACCAAATAAACTGCAGATTTGAAACAATAATTTTTGAAGCAAATACCATTTAATTGATTAAAATAAAAATTATTTGATTCAAGTAAATATTTATTTAATAATAGACAAGTAATCGGTTACTTGAGTCAAATGGTTTATTTTTCAGCATAGTTAATGTCTTTCGACTATAACAAATTTTTGATTAAATTTAATTTAAATTAAAATTTTTAATTTTAATTTGAACCAAATATAATTTATTTCAGTTAAATAAAAGGATATTTGTTATTATATTATTTATTTGTTTCAAAGGCAAATTTTATTCGACACAAATAGAATTTTTTTTGAGACAAACAAAATTTTATTTGAACCAACCAAAATTTTATTTGAATCAAATAAAATTTATTTGAAAGAAATAAAATGTCCAGTTGGCTCTGAGTCAAATATATCTTTTTTCTGGGTGCGATTATTATGATTATTATGATTATTTTTATTAAATACTTTATTTTTCATTACTTTCTTCTTAGTAATTTGTTTACTTCTTAGTAATTATTTATTAATTATACTTTATAAATTATAATTATTAATCATCTCAATATTTTTGCTATTCATTTTGTGAATGTGAAAGTTTTTACACAGAGCTTCAAATAGTAAAATCGCATTGGACTTTCTCACCCATTTAAAAACAACTGAGTAATAAAATCTTTGTTATTTTTTTTTTTTGATGAATTAAATGACAAATTTTTAAAATTTATAACCTGTTTGGAATCTTTTTTTTTTTTTTTTTGAGAAAAAACAATTCTTCTACGCCTTGATCTCAGTGCATACCTAAAAACTTGCGCTCCGGGAACAAATCTGCTACGTCTACAGCTATAGTCAACATACGTAGCTCATCCGATATGCTGTACGTGATTTGTGATGTGCTAGTGGTGTTTCTAGAAAAACAATTCTCTCGTGCGCTCTTTCATTCTCCCCCGTCCATTTTTAAACTCTAGTCACTACCCCAACATTGACTTCCATTCTTTTTCGTCAAACACTTTTAGCAAGTCCTCTCTCTCTCTCTTTCTTTCTGTGTTTCTCTTTTATTTTATCGATAATTTTCCAACAGATTTCGCATTTATATATATATATATTTATATTTTTTTTCTTTCAGTAATTGAAATTTTTTTTTAAATTCTCTTTTAAAAATCTATTAATTGTTTTTGTTTGAAAATTTAGATATTATTATAGCATTGTAAAATATATAAAATATATAGACTTACATGACAGAAAGACATAAACGCTTTGTCTACACTTTTTTCTATCTTTTTTTTAAGAGTAAATTTCAAATTAGTTTTATGTATATATATATTTAAATTTGCATCGAACATTAGGTGATTGACAATTATTTTTAGTATCTTTTGAAATGAATTTTTTTTGTCAATCTGGAAGAGTATTAATGACTATATTAAAAATTGGCAACATTTGTTGTCGAAAATTCTAATTTATTTGTATAGGAATGATTGTATTTTGTGATTTTGTTTTCTTTTTCTTAGTAAAATTGTTCTGGGTTATTTTTTTTCTTTTCTTTTTCTTTTTTGAGAAACTGTAAATAACTCAAAGCATGCTTTTGAGATATAGAAGGCAAAAACTAATGGTATAGAGAGAAAATTTTAGAGTTCAAAGATGAGCTCGTGTTAGAATTCTTTTTTTTTTCTTTTTTGAGTTTAGTATTTTAAGGAATCGAGAGAGGCTGCTGAAGATCGACGAGACAAACCAAGGGAAGGTGGTCCACTGACCAGGGATGTAGTGCCGAACAGCTTATACCATCCGATCACCATATCATTCAGGTTCAGATCATCCAGCAAGATCTGAGCAATTCCCATGAACACTTTTCGCCCCTCCAATCGACCATAGTCTCCCCATACAGTCACCTGTGGGGGAAATTTTTTTTTTTTGATGAAATTTTTCTTCTTTTGGAAATTTAATTTTTATTTTTCATCCATTACTTTAAATTACTAAGAATTTTTGCTTATTTTTAGTAAAAAAATTTACTACATTTTCGTTTCGTAGTTTTATATTTTTTTTACTAGACTTTTTTGTAAAAATTTAGTAAATTAAATCAAACTAATTATATTTTTTTGAAATTTAATTTTTTCAGTACTTTAGTAAAAATTAATTATTAATTATTATTATTTATTTTTATTGTAATTAATTAATTAATTAATATTATTATTAATTATTAATTATTAATAAAAACTAAATTCAGTAAAAATTGTAATTCTGGGAAATCAAGGAAAAGTAAAGGGATTCATATTAAAGTACTGGAAAAAATTAAATTTGCAAGAAATATAATTAGTTTTATTTAATTTCTTAAAATTTATTTATTTAACTATTAAAGATCATGGATTTATAAAAGAATTTTAGTTAAAAACACTAAAAAAAATTGAATTTTAGAGAAGTTACAAATGTTTGCAGAAATTCAATTATGTTAAAAAATTTTAAAAACTTCTCGTCAAAATTCCATTTATCTTTAAAAATAATAAAATTCTTCTCCAAAATCCAATTATTTTTATAAATAATTAAAATTTCACAGTAATTCAAATATTTACAAATTTTTTTTATAAATTTCTTCGCAATAATTCAATTATTTTTATAAATAATAAAATTTTTTACAGATATTCAATTATTTTCATGAAAAATAAAACTCATCATAGAATTTCAATTATTTTTAATATATAATTTTAACCGAATTCCTCGAAAAATGTAATTATTTTTGAAAATTTTTTTAAAATTCGTCGTAAAAATTCAATGATTTAAAAATTTATTTATTCAATAATTTTTTTATTTTTGTATTTACATAATTGAATTTTCGTATAATTTTATAATAAAAATTGTTATAAAAATGAATTTCAGTTAAAATTTTAGATAATTGAATTTTAAAAGCTTTATAGCGTGAATTTTTAGAAATTATTATATTTTGGAAAAGTTTAATTGATTTTTTTTAAAATTATTTCAAGTTTTTGTTTCTTTAATATTTAATTGGAGAATTTCTGAATAATCAAAATTTCGTAAAATTTAGTTGTAAAGAAATGGATTTGAAAGTTCTCTAGAAACTTCTGCAAAAATTATTAAAAATAATTGATAAATAATTATTTATCAATTATTCATTTATTTCTTTTGAAGAATTTTAATAAAATGTTTGAAATTAATTACATTTTTCGAAGAATTTACTTAAAATTATATTGAAAATAGTTGAAATCCTGTAATGAATTTTATTATTTAGAAAAATAATTAAAGTCTTGCAACGAATTTTGATTATATATTTTTTTAATAATTAAAATCCTGTGAAGAATATTATTATTTATGAAAATAATTGAATTCTTGCAACTAATTTTGTTACATTTTTTAAAAATAATTTAATTCTTTCTTGAGAAAAGAATTTTATTATTTGTGAAATGTAATTGAACTCTTTCAAAAAATGTTTGAAAATAATTACATTTTTCGAGGAATTCATTTAAAATTGTATTAAAAATAATTTAAATCCTAAGAAAAATTTTATTATTTATGATAATAATTGAATTCTTACAACGAATTTTATAACATTTTTTTAAATAATTAAATTGATGTGAAAAATTGTAGTGTTTATAAAAGTAATTGAATTCTTGCGAAGGATTTTATTAAAATTTTTGTAAATAATTAATTTTTTTTTTTTTTTGAAAAATTTTATGGAAGTTTAAATTATTATAAAACATGAAGATATTCTTAAAAGTTATTGAATTTCAAAATTCGAATTTTTTAAAAATCTTAATTCCTATGAAAAAATAATAATGATTGAATATTTATTTAAAAATGAAGTTATTGATATTTTCGAATAATTTTCCAATAAAAGAAATTCGTAAATTAATGTTTAAGGAAATTTTTTTGAGTTTCTAATAATTTTTAGAGTGATTCAGAATTTTCTTTTTGTAAAGAAGAAATTGAAAATTTTTGAAAAATTAAAGATAATAAAATTAAATTGAAGATAATTGAATATTGAAAAAATTGTCGATTTGTTGAAGAATTTCATTTAAAAAATTTGATAAATAATTTATAATTGAATTTCAGAACATTGATAAAAAAATTTTTTTAATCCAAAAATAAGTAGCCAACCAAAAAAATATGTTTGAATTAACCATATTTTATATTTGAATTAAACGTAATTTTTATTAAATCAATCTTAATGTATTGAATCAAAATTATTATGTTTAATTAAAAAATATTTTTTGGCTGACTATATAACAAAGATTTGATTGAAATATATTTTGATTCAAATATATTGTTTTCTCAGTGGAGGAGTCAAAATTTAATTTATTATCGCGATCAGGCAACAAGTCAAAATTCTTTCTGGATGTTGGGAAAAAACAAAATCAAATTGTGTTAAATTTGTAAAAATAAATTACTAATTTAATTACAGTAAATTAAGATTGAAATTGGAAATAGTTTTTTGTGTAAATTTTACCGACAAGATATACATACTTGTAAAATGCAGCCTTGAAAATTTTCCTTAAATTGCAAATGTTGTTGGTACAAAGGTTCTAATGTTTTTCTCACTGTTGTTGTTTTTGCTTTGGCTATACACTTCTTTCCATTAACGAGGTAGACTTTCACGTAAGGTGCTAAAAAAAAAAATTAGGAATTAATTAGTAAATTAATAAAATTAATATTTTATGTTAATTTATTTATTGAAATGTTTATTTTCATCTCTCTATTGTGAATAAAATGTCTAGAATTCTCTGTCTACTTGCCTGGTACAACTTTGCTGCCCTGTTTTGCTTGTAAATCTCGAGCTCGAATAACTTCAACTTCCAAGTAGCCTTTGGTGTGACTTAGAGAAAGTTGAATTTCACCAAGCGATGGTGCACCAAGAACCTGTCGTCCCACAATTTGTCCAGGGCCAATTCCCTCGATAAAGTCACTTAGCTGTCCACCTTCTCCTGCCATACGCAAACTGGGAGACCAACTGTTTTTGAGAAAATGCATTTAATGCTCCAACAACTACATCTAAGCCTCTAATTAACAAGTATCAGGGAAATTATTAAGTTTCAACTTTATTTTCAGAAAATTAATTTAAAAAATCAAATAAATATTGAGAAAAAATTTACAATAGAATAAAATTAAAATTATAAATTCGATAAAGGTTTATTCCACTTAAACTCCTATAGAATATTCTATCGAAAGATTGCGAATATTCCTTTTCAATATTCCATCCACATTTTAGGAAAATTAAAATTCGAAAGGTCGAACATTTTTATAGATGGAATATTCCCAATGTTCCAATGGAATACTCAAAGAATGTGAATGGAATATTCCGTGCTATTGGGGTGCATAATTAATTTAAACGAAAATTATAAAAAAATTTATACAAACAATTAGAAGAAAGTAATTATAATTTTAATTATAACTTTAATTATAATTTTAATTATAATTGTAATTATAATTTTAATTATAATTGTAATTATAATTTTAATTAAAATTATAAGAAGGTATATAAAAAGAGAATTGAAGACAAGAATTGAAGATAAAAAAAATTATAACAAAAGATTAAAATGTGAAACTCCCTGAATACTCAAAAAAGCGTGTTACACGATTGGAGTAAAAAAGGTATAGTTGAAAATTTTTTTATACAAGCTGGTTTTACATATACAAGAAAACTAATACTTTTTTTAATTATATATATATATAAAAAAAATAATAGAGATAAAAGGTATTTCGCAGATCTATAGAAAGCCTTCGACGAATGTTTGGAAGAAGATTTTTGTGTTTTCTTTCATTCAGGACAAGAAAAACTTACGTTAAAGAGTATAATATATGTGTAATGAGTATTAACAGTGTCAACTTTTTTTCTTATATAATAAAAAAGAGGAAAAATTTTTCGTGTCTAGCTATAATATTAAAAAAAAAGTAATTTACATGCAACAATCTCATGCCTTAAACTTCTGAATAATAATTAACTTTTTTATTAACTTTCTCATTTTAGTCAGAGTATAAAATTAAATAATTACTTGACTATCAATACTAACTGATTTAACTATTTAATAAAATATTCATTTAGTTATTTATATAATATTTAATTACTTAGAAAATTATTTATTTATTTATTTATAATTTTATAGAATTAATTATTTAATTAAATTTTTCTGGAAAGTGTAGTAAAAAAGTTGATTATCGTCTATTAAGATTTAAGCAAAAACTAATTTACATGCACTGAAAGAGAAGTAGTTTTTTTTTTCAAACATCGACGACACGAACATGACAATTTATAATTATTATTTATATAAATATGACACTCTTGGTAAAAATTCAGCCACTCTTTTGTTTCATCGCAAACAGAAGCAGAAATCATTTTGTGTAATAAACATATATAGGTATATTTTATGGTTAATAAAAATAAGAACATTGAGAATTAAGGGGAATTTCATAGGATATAATTATAGGACATGTAAAAGCGCGATCGTTGAATAATCAAACGAAGCCTCATCTGAAATTCTCCATCCATTATGAAATCGGAAATATTTTTGTAGCTAAAAATATATTGTGCAATATTTCGATAAACATAGAAAGTTTTTAAAAACAAGAAAAAGTGATGTTTTTTGGAATTTTTTTTCATGGAATATGAAATTGATAAGAAAATATTTTTACAAAATAATTTGAATTAATTATCTAATTAATTAATTAACTGGTTTTGAGAATTAGTATAAATAATATTCATATTAAATATTAAGAGTACGAATGATCTGTTAAAACTTGAAAGTACAAATAATATTAAATATTTAATTATTAATAATATTAGTATTGTTACACAGTAAAAAGTAAATCTTAATTTAAGAGCTGCCTTAAATTCAACACTGTCTGCTACAATGTTAAAGGATACGAAAAACGTGCGTAAATTCAACATTGACTGTCTTAAAAATGTTGCATCTTAATTTAAGGCAGCTTTCGTGCCTTAAAATAAGATTTTCTTTTTACTGTGTAGCTCATAAAATCAGTCACTTTTTCCTGGTGGTAAATATAATATTGAATTAATACAACGAAGGATAACATTGATAGTTAATTATAAAAAGGGGTTGCACACGAAAACAATGTTAGATACAACACAAAAGAAAATACGTCTAAACTTAAGAAAGTTGAGTCTTTAAAGATAAAATTTATAATTTTTTTTCTCAATTTATTATCAGACATTGTTCTCGTGTGATTAAGTAGCACAATTGATGGAAAAGATTATTAGAGAATATAGAAAAGCTGCAACATAAAAATTCTTTTATATAATAGATACACAATGTACAAAATACAGACGTAAATTCTCTTTCTTTTTTACTTTGTCGAAATTGAAAATTTGATACATTAGATAATGTAATTTTTAAGGAATAAAATTTATTAATATTATTAATATGTAATATCAGAATCGATAGGTTGAAAAACTTTTAATTAGAAAATTGTTGCATTAGAGAAAATAGAAATAGAATTTAGAGAAAGTAGGTAGAATATTTTTTAAATTTAAATTATTTGTATAAAGAATCTATTTTCTTGAGTACTAAACTATTTGTAAAGTTTTTTTTTTATTAATAAAATAACAAATATTTGAATATAATTTTGATATTATTGTTTTAATTTTGTTAAAATATGCAAATAGTGCATTTATATTGATAGATGCAGTGCATCGGAAAAATATATTGCGTTAGACTGAATTAGCCAAGCATATTAAAGCCAAGACCACAACAACATTGAAACAAGGACTTTAGATTTTGAAATTATTAAATATATATTAAAAATTACTTAAACTGACATTCAATTTCGATCAATTCACAGAGTGACAAAGAAAAATAAGATAAATGAGATTTTTCAAACATTAGGCGTAGGACAGATTCTTTTTTTCTTTTTTTTTCTTTTATACATATACACATATATAATTAGGGATATTTTTTTAATTTTTATATACATTCAATTTGTCTTTATACCTTCTCTCCCTTTTTTCACTCTTTCTCTCTCTCTCTCTCTCCCTCGTGTAAATTTTTTTTATCTAAAATTTTGATTTCTATTCTCCTGCAATTTACTCTCTATATTTGAATTCGCAAAAATGTTTACTAATTTGAATTAGTGATTGATTTTTTCTTTTTAATTAGTAAATTTTACTATTAAATAGTAATTTCTACTAATTTATTAGTAAAATTTATTAATTGAAAAGCAAAAAGTCTTAGTAAACATTTTTACTAATTCAAATTTAGAGAGTAGTTCTAATTTTTAATTTAAATCGAAAATTATATTCTTTTTTCGATAAAATTAAATTTGAAAATTAGGAATTGTTTTTTAAACTATTGTCTTTGTTTTTTATTATTTAAACAGTTCATTGATTTTATTTACTTTTAGGTAAATTTATTTTTTCTTTTTTCGTGTTTTTTTCCATTAATTATTCATTGTGTTTATTTTTTCATAGAGAAACATTTTCTTGTGAAATTGACTTGATTGTTAAAATTGTGATAAAGGAAATGGAAAATAGAAATCAAAATTGTTTATCATTCAGAGAAATAACGAAGTATATTATTTCTGTTAGTGGAATTTTTCACTATTTAAATTTAGAAAGACTAAAATTAATTGTTAAATTTTACAAAAGCATTTTACGTTTTTCGTCTAAAAATGTAAAAAAATATTTTCCTATTTTTTCACAACTTATTTTCTATGACAATTTTATATTTTTGACATTTTTCAGCTAAATCGTAAAATCCTTAAATAAAATTTATTAAATATTTTTCAGTCAAATACGTACAAAAAGTTGCTTTGCAACATTTTTGATACTTTTTTCGTAATTGAAAACAAGATAGAATTATTATTCAATTTAATTTTATTACTGATATAAATAGTAAAAAAATAATGTTGTATTGTTTTTTATTGTTTTACTAAATTTAAATCTGTATTTTTATTGCTATAAAAAATATATTTAATTGTTTGCAGCAGTAAAATTGTACCAAGGAATTCTACTCTTATTAAAAAAATTTTCAATAAAATATAACTGAATTTCAATGAAAATTTTACTGAAGTGCTTCAGTCGCAAAATTTCAACTATTTTACCAGTAAAATTATACTGATTCAAATGTAGAGAGTAAATTCATATTGTTTTATTAGTGAAATTTTGATTCTAGTTTTAAAACAAGATGACCCGCCGTGCTCGAACTAGGTTCGTAAATTCCGTAAAAGTCCGTAACTTTTCTTGAGGTCCGTAAAAATCCGTTTCCTTGAAAAAAGGTCAGTAAAGTCCGTAATTTAATTCAAAAAGGATGAAAAGTTCGTAAATTGTACGATATAATTTGGATAATTTTAGAGAAATTATAAATGATTGCAAAAATTCAATTATTTTCAAAAGGAATGAAATTCTTCGCAAAAATTCAATTATGTTCAAAAATTTTTAAAAATTCTCATCAAAATTTAAATTATTTTTAGAAATAATTAAATTCTTCTCCGAAATTCAATTATTTTCAAAAAGTTTTATCAATTGAATGATTTTCAATATCTACTATTTTCATAAAATTTCCCAAAAAAATCCAATTGTTTAAAAATAAATTTAATGAAATTCTACACAAACTTTAAATTATTTTCAAAAAGTAATAAAAATTACACAGGAATTTAATTATTTACAAATTTTTTTTATAAATTTCTTCGCAATAATTTAATTATTTTCATAAATAATAAAATTCTTTTTAGGAATTGAATTATTTTCGTAAATAATAAAATTATTTTTATGAATTCAATTATTTTCATAAATAATAAAACTCATTTCAGAATTTCAATTATTTTTAATACAATTTTAATCGAATTCCTCGAAAAAATTCTTAAAAATTGCATTAAAATTTGTCAAACGAATTCAATTATTTAAAAATTTATAGATAAAATTCTTTATGAGAATTCAACTTTTAATTATTTTCAAAAAATAATTCAAATTTCACAGGACTTTCATTATTTACAAATATTTCATAAGTTTTTTCGCAATCATTTAATTATTTTTATAAATAATAAAATTCTTTGTGAGATTCAATTTTGTGAAACATGCAATTATTCAATAAATTATTTATTTTTGTATTTAAATAATTTAATTCTAGTAGAATTTTCTCATAAACATTTATTTAAAAATGAATTTCAGTTTTAGATAATAATTGAATTTTAAAAGCATTAGAGCGTCAATTTTTAGAAATAATTGAATTTTGAAAAGGTTTCAGATTAAAATCTTTGAAAATTTGAATTTTTCACATTTTTAACTAACTAATTATTTAAAGTTTTTATTTTCTAATATGTTAATTAAAAAATTTACAAATAATTGAATATTTGTAAAATTGAATTGTAAACAAATAAATATGAATATTCTTAAAAAACTTTTTTAAAAATTATTATAATGGATTTATAGAAGATGTTTAGTTAAAAATAAGAAAAAAAAAAATTTTTTTTTGTAAAAGTTACAAATAATTGTAGAAATTCAATTATTTTCAAAAGTAATAATATTTTTCGCAAAAATTCAATTTTGTTCAAAATTAATAAAATTCTTCTTAGTGATTTAATTATTTTCACAAATAAGAAAACTCATTGCAGAATTCCAATTATTTTTAAGACAATTTTAATCGAGTTTTTCGAAAAATGTAATTATTCTTAAAAATTTTATTAAAATTCGTTGATAGAATTCAATTATTTGAAAATTTGTTGATAACGATTCTTTATGGGAATTGAATTTTAAGAAACATTCAATTATTCAATAAATTATTTATTTTTGTATTTAAATAACTGAATTTTAGTATAATTTTCTAATAAAAATTGATTTTCATTTCATAAAAATGAATTTCAGTTAAAATTTTAGATAATAATTGAATATTAAAAGCAATATAACGTGAATTTTGAAAAATAATTGATTTTTGAAATTAATTTTTTTTAAAAAGTGTAATTGAATGTTTATTATATTATTTGAAGTTTTTATTTTCTGATATTCATTTAATTAAAGAATTTACGAATAATTGAAATTTCGTAAAATTGAATATTGTAAACAAATGGATTTGAAAATTGTCAAAGAACTTTTTCGAAAATTATTAAAAATAATCGATTTAAAGAAGAATTTTAGTTAAAAATTCTTGTAAATAATAATTGAATTGTTAATGATTTTATCACTCGGTCATCTTTAATTATTATAGTTATCGATATCTTCATGTTTTACAGTTATGAAAAATTGAATTTATAGTTTTAAGTAAAATGTTCTCTTATTTGACTCGGACTGGTTATATTTTTGTCAGGAAATGGTCCGTAATTTTTCATTTTTGGTCTGTAAAGTCCGTATTTTTAATCACTTTTACTGGTTCGAGCCCTGCCCAGGTGAAAAGATTCCTTGGAAAGTGCCTCTTAGAAATTTCCAACAAAATATCTTATTGGAAACTCCGTCGGAATTCCAACTAGAATTCAGTTTCAATCGGAATTGCATCGAAATTCTAACTGGAATTCAGTTCCATTTTTGTAATTATATTGGAATTCCAATCGGAATTCTGACGAAATTTCCGACTTGAAATTTTGACGGAAATTTCTAGGAGCACTTTCCAAGGCATTTTTCCACCTGGGAAAGAAGAAGAAGAAGAAGAAGAAGAAGAAGAAGAAGAAGAAGAAGAAAAAGAAGAATAAGAATAAGAAGAGGGTGGAGAGAAAAAAGAAAGAGAGAAGTATAGGGTGAAGAGAGAGAATAATAGTCGAGTGAGAGAGAAAGAAAGAGAGAGAGAGAGAGAGAGTGAGTTTCGCGCCCCGTTGATTTGATTTGGACTTTAGCACACTACTTACGAGCTTCCTTCAGAACTTGAGATTGAGTTCAAACTTCCAGCCGTATCGCTGACCATAGATCCTGGTTTACCGATGCGTTGATAGGTTGGTACCACCTCCTGAGAACGTTGAATACTGCTCGGAGTGCTGTTCCTCTTGCGATTCATAATGCCAGACGATCGTGGATCCAACGTAGTCCCGATGACAACTCCACATTCTGTGTTGTAAATCAAACAAGACATTTTTTCACTGACACTTAATCCACTGCTGTGCGTTAACTCGTTTTCTCGCTTTATAAATTCTTATTATTTTAAATATTCAATATTATATTTCACATCATTTTCAATTTATATATGAAAATCAATTTCTCACAAAAAGGCATATCTAGGAAGAAAAATTACTAATAATTTGTTGCTTTTTTTATGCCACCCGTAAATAATTTCTTTCTATTTTGTTTGCTTTCTGAAAGAATTCCTTCATGTACTCTCTCTTTCTCCGTCCCTTCTCTCTCAGCTTTCATCATCCTAAGAGAATATATTTTTTTTCCGTTCTATTCTTCCTTTACAGTTAAAATGCCAAATATATAAGAACAATCTACTCACGAATCTGAAATATCCTGTTACTTTATTTTGGGCAATATAGATTGTATTATCCAGCGTACATTTAGTAAATTTTCTTTGACAAAAAAATTTTTTTATTCCATTTGTTAAAGAAAATTTAATGAGAAAAAAACGTCGAAAGAACATTTATAGAATAAAAATGGTTGTGTTTACATCTTCTTAAGAATTCAATATATATAATATTTCGACCATCTAGATATTGAAAAAATGGGTAAATTTTGATTTTGTGCCAGGAATATGGGTATAATATGTGACACACATGACAAAAAGAATATTTCGAGTCTCCTGGAATAGCTGAAAATTATTACACAGTGAAAATATCATTCATGGAAACAGATATTAATAATTATATTATATTCTTCTTGAGTTCCTGAAATCATTGACGAATTTCTTTTTCAATATTCTTTTAAAGTACCAAGCAGGGTCGAAAATCTATAAAAGTGGAGTGATCTAATCTAGAGTTTCAATTTTCTCTATCTATAGGTATAAATTAATGTACATTAATTTACTCTGTAAATTTTTATATTAATATATATAATTAATAATATAATATATACATTATTAATAATATTATTAATTATTATTAATTATATAAATTAATCCTCATTAATTTATCGAATAATTAATGTACATTGATTAACTGTATAAATTGATGTATACTAAACTAATTAAAGTATGTTAATTAACAGTACAAATTGATCTAAACATATTGATTGGGTTACAATTTTTCTAAAACGCATTTTCTAATTTTTTATTTTCTAAAACTCTTTTTTCTCTAATGAATATTTCACAACATAAATCTTTAGTAAAAGATTTATTTAAAAATACGTACAAACAAAAATTGTTAAAAAAAATAATTATACATGTAAATAATTATTATAAATAACTCTCTAAATATAAATTAATGAAAAATGTTTACACGGAGAAAAATATAAAGTAACTTTTACTACTTTTATAGTAAAAAATTTCCGGTAAAGCATTTCTGGTAATTTTTACTACTTTTGAAGTAAATTTTACTACGTTCGAAGGAAATTTTACTAATTTTTACAAATATTTACTGCAAAAGTAGTAAAAATTACCAGAAATGCTTTACCGGAAATTTTTTACTATAAAAGTAGTAAAAGTTACTTTATATTTAAATTTAAAGAAAAACTAATAAATACAATTAAAAATAAAGAAATAAAAATAATGGAAAATATAGAAAAATTTTAGAATTTCACAAAGAAAAAAATTAATTTTACAAATCAAAACTTATTAGAAATTGCTTCTTTTTAGAAAACTGATTTCATTGTAGAAATTGTTTTTTTTGTTTCAGAAAAAAAAGTATAAGAAAATATTTTTTAGAAATGGTGACCAATTCAATATCTATATTATATTAATTGATCTATATTTATAATAATTATCTATAATGTCATATAGTTGTAGATGAAAGAAAAAAAAATTATTGTCTCTGCGAATTCAATTATAAAATAAATACTCTGCTCATGCAAGAAGCAGAACTCTATGTTTTATAATTCCAAAATACGTGATTTGGAATTAAACATTTTTTTTTATTTCAAATTAATGAAATGAATCTCTTTTTATTAACGTACAGCAGTAAATTGATGTTAAACGGAAGCGCTAAGTAAATTTAAAAAAAATAAAAGCCATATGTATAATATGTGTGTATGTGTCACACTCACACTTCATTATTAATTGACACTGGCTTCTAATTGCTTTAATTAATTTTTAAAATCTTTTTTAGTTATTAAATTCATTTTTAAATTCGGACTTTCACAAATTTTACGATCTACGCTTTTTATAAAATTTCTACTTTAAATTGCTTATTATATTATCGCGATTAATAATAATAGTATTACTATGCTGATTATTTTTACTAATATTAATAATAATAATATTATTCATAATAAAATAATTATAAAAATTATACTCAAATTTATTATTATTATTAATAATATAATTTTATTTAATTTTAATTATTTTTATTATTATTATTATTATTAATATAATTTTATTTAGTATTCATATTCATTATTATTATTATCGGTATTATTATTAATATTATTACAATGATAAAATAATAATATTAATAATAAAAACAATTTTGATAGTAGAAATTATAGTAATAATAATATTATATCTAAGAAGCTTTATATCTAACAAGAAAAGCACATATTGTGCAACATAACTATATATTTGTTTATTTAACATTATATTCTAATGTAAATTACAGTAGCTTTTTTTTTTTTGATTTGTGCTGAACTAAATTACTATTAAACCCATTATATAGAATCACACATGAGTTTATTGAAGCGAATTGCATGTGATTTATAAAATGTACAGGCAATAAAAGCTGTGCATGCTTATTTCTATCATCTAGAAAAAATTCTACAACTCAATTTCACGCTAAATAAAATTCGTGCTTTCAAAAAACAGTGTGAGATAAACTTATTTGCTATATCGGCTTATTTTTCTTCACTTGGAACAAATTGGAAAACTTCAATTTACTGTAGGCTATTATTTCTTTTATTATATTTATTTATTTATATAAATAAATTTTTATTTATTATTTATTTAGAAGAAATATTAATTATTATTTTCAAAGTCAGGTTACGTTTTTTTACCCAGAAAAAAATTTAGTTAATTCAGAGCAAATTGAACTATTTATTTGTTTCAAACAAAATTTTATTTATATCCAATAAAATTTTTATTTAAAATAAATAAACTAGTTGCTTCTGAGACAAATACACTATTATTTAACTTAAATTATTTTTGGATTAAATAGAATTTTTCTCTGGGTGTAAACATTGAATATTAGATTTTGATTAGTTATTTAGAATATATTTCAATTGCAATAAAATTTAAACTTATTGATTCGAATTAAAATTTAACGTTAATTTTTTGTAAAGGTATAAAAATATAAATATAAAGATTAAAATCTATGGAATTTTTTTCATCGAAATTTCGAAATTTTGAAATTTTTATCTTGTTACTTGATATATTGATAATTATATTAAATTTATTGAATCAGTTACGGTATTTATTATTTTTATTTATTTTGTAAAATTGGTTAAAATGAATTTCTTTAGAATTGAATGTTCGAATCGGAATTTGTTCTAAAGTTGACAAGCCGTGTAATATTTTTAAAATAATCATTAAATTACTTTAAATAATATACTTGACCATTTTATTGCTGTTCCACTGCTTAAACAGAATTTAATAAACGACACATTAAATTGTGTAATATTAGTATCATTTGACATCATGAAAATTACCGACATTTTTAATTACATTCTAGTATTAAATTCGCCTCATGGGAAAAACTCATATGCAAATCTACGTGTTAGTGTGAAATAATTTGTTTTAGAACTGTCAAAAAAATCTACAATAACTAATGAGTGACAAAAAAGTTAAAGAATTTCATTTTTCAAAATACCGTTTTTAATTTTTTCTCTTCAAGTTGTTGTATAGTATAACAATCCAAGTTGAAAAATTTTAAAAGCCTGATTGAATTTGTAAAAGAAAGAAAAAATTGTAAAATTTTGTTGTTTAATAAAAGTTGAATGTTATTGAATAAAATGAAAAAAAGTTTAAATAAAAATAAAGGAATATGTATTAGTTTATGAATTTAATAGATTGTCTGACTAATACCGAATTTACTACTGATGGTAGAATGACACAAATTTCTTATCTCTTCACTGACGGGAATCGACTTTTATCAGTGATAATAAAAAAATTGTCTGACTAAAACCGATTCTACAACTAATGATAGAATAACACTAGTTTATTATTTCTCGGCTGACTGAAATCTTCTTTTGCTACTGATAGAAAAGTTTTTACTAAAATAATACAAATTTTATTCACTATGTCTGACTGCAATTTACTTTTACTACTGTTGTTAGGGTTTTTAAAAATTAAAAACATTTCGTTTGACCAATATTGACTTTTAACTACTGATTACTTAATTAAGGAATTAATTTTTTATTTGGAATTTAAATAGAAAAAATCGAATAAATTTACACAAAAAACGTTCAGTTTTTTTTTGGAAGATTTTGTCTGACACAAAACAACTTTCACTACTCATTATTACATGGATTTTTTAGGCCTGTCTGATCTAAAACTGAGTTTTACTACTGAAACCGTGGTTTCGCTAAAAATACCAGTTCCAAAGAGTTACTATTTAATTCAGACATGAATTTTAAGGCATGTTTGACCTAAAACTGAGTCTTACTACTGAAATCGTAGTTTTGGTAAAAATACTAAAAATGCAAAACCCACAGAGTTCCTTTTTAATTTAGTCTGACTAAACTTGACTTTCACTCCTGTTTATTTAGTTAAAGTCGACTTTTACTACTTTCTGTATTCATAAAAATTAAAAATATTTTGTCTGGCTGAAAATGATTATTCTCACTTATAACAAAATTACGAGAATTTTGACACTTAATGTCTGATTAAAAATACATTTTACTATTTATTTACCGAGTAATATCAATTTAATTCATTTTTTCTTGAAAATTACTCTCCACTAATAAATATTTCCTCTTCACTAGTAAAAAGTTTATTCTACTTTCCTACTGAGATTATCCGAAATCTGGCTATAAACGACTTATACTACTGATTAACAAAAAATGTTTATTTTTTGTCTGTTAAAAACTAACTTTTAGCTTTTATTAGTCACTAAATTTATTTAAATCTCATTAACATTGAGAATTTAATTCACAATGTCTGACTAAAATCGATTTTTATTACTGATTATGAAATTACACTAAAAATATTAATTTCACTAAAAATAGTAAATTTACGCGAATTTAATTCTTTCTGACTAAAATTAACTTTTCTTACCGATGATAAAATGAAAACAATTGACAACATTATGTCGATACTAATATTGACTTATACTACTGGATCTACAGAAATTTTAAACTTTTTGTCTGGTTAAAATAGATTTTTCTAAATACAAATTGAGTAATTTTAGAATTATGTCTGACTAAAAATACTTTTTACTACTGTTAACAGAGTACCTCGAATTTTACACATTTTGAACGTTTTGAAATTTACTTTTTTCAGAGAAAAAAATATTGCATCATCAATTCTTAGATAATAGGAATTTTAATATGTTTGACTAAACCCGACTTGTACTGCTGATGTCATTATTAACAAAAAGTTTATGACAAAGACGGATTTTCTACTTTTATTAACTTTACTAAATTGATTGAAATTTCATTATTAAATTTCAATTTAATTGAAAACAAAACTGAGAATTTAATACGTAATGTCTGACTAAAATTGATTTTTACTACTGATAATGAATAAACGGTTTGCGTCTAACTAAAATATTCTTTTAGAATACTCTCAGTAAATTTTCGTCTATTATAATTCTTTGTCTGTCTAGAAATGACTTTTTTCTACTTAAAAAAAAAAAAAATTAAAAATTACAAAAAATTTAAAACTCACTGGCTGGATTTAATTTCTACTATACGAAAAGATTTGTTTTTGTTTATTTGTCTGACTAAAGCTGAGTTTCTCTACTGAAATACTATTAATCTAAAGGTTCAATGTTCTGTCTGTTCAAAAATGTCTTATTCTACTGAAATAAAAATTTAAAAAGTACTAGAACGACAGGAATAAATGTCGTTTTTTTATTACTTCGATTGTTATAACAATAGAACTCAATTGTTAATTATAATTAACAATAAACACGAATTTCCTTTAATTTTTCATCACTCAATGCATTGCATTTAAATTCTATATAATGTTCTGTGTGCTTCGCTGTAAGTTATTTTCTTTTGTGTTGTTCACCATTGTCCTGATTTCATTTCGAATAAGCCCTTTTTCCTGTACTCACATTTCGTCGAAGGTTCGCTCAAAAAAAAAAGCAAATCATAAAAAACAAAAAGACAAAGAGGAAATAGATTAAATTTTGTAATTCAAAGTTACTTAACTATCAAACTACTTTTTTATTCCAAAAAAAAAATAAATAAATAAATCTTTTCAGTAACCTTTTTTACTCAAAGTCTATATCTAGTTTTTGGAACTGAAATAATACTCTTTTTTTTTGACAAATTAAACGACTGGTAAATCTAACTCTCTAAATCTGAATCAGTTAAAATTTTAACTAATTTGAATCAGTGACTGTCATTTTACTTTTTAAATCAATTACAAGTTCAACTGATTTATCAGTGGAAAGAAATTCTTTTACTAACGAATCAGTAAATTTACCACGGAAAAAAAGTCCGAAAACGTTTACATCTTAAAATCCAATATAATTAAAAATAGTAATAATTAAAAATTGCAATTAATTATTATTTCAAAATCAAATTAAGTCAAGTTTATATGTTTGGAATTATACTTTCAAGGTTCAAGTTTAGTCAAAAAGGGTTTAAATGTAAACGGTTTTAGTCAAAAGTAAAAAAAAAATTTAATTTTTTAAGAGCAAAAAGCTAGCTAAAATTTTAACTGATTTCGCTTTAGGGACTAAATAATACGCTACCTGTGCCAATGCATAATAAATTTCTCCATATAGTCTAGCTGATCAATAAAATGACTATTATTGCCCTAGGGCAATAACGAGTACTTTATTAACATTTGAGTATAATAATGTCAATAAAGTGCCTATTATTGACCTAAGATTTATAAAGTGACCATTATTGCCCTAGGGTAATAAAATGACTATTATTGCCCAAGGGTAAAAATGTGACCATTATTGCCCTAGGTCAATAATGGGCACTTTATCGACCGCTAGGCCATAAGGGAGAACTTATTATGCGCTTGTACAAGTAATTAAAGTGACCATACGCCTGAGTTATACAATAGAAATAGGGACAAATAAAAATGGAAATAAATAAAAAAAATAAAATTCTAATAAAACCTAAGATTGAAATAATGAGCGGACCTGTCCCCATCACCACTTCCTTCACCATCGCTGCTCGCTGAACTTGGTTGTCGACCGCTTCTTCCACTGGCAGTGTCCTCTGGTAGAACCTCCTCACTACGATGAACTGTAAAGGACGATTTTCCCTTCTTCCCGAACCCCATCCGCCGTTTTCGGCCTTCCTCGCCCAAGTATGTACCACCAACAGACACGCACGTGGGCACGTTATGGTTTTACGTGTCGTTTTTATTCGACGAATAATTTCGTCATGTTTTTGATTTTTTTGATTTTTTTTGAATTTTTTTTTTATTGTGGAATAATAATGGTAATGGTAGTTGTAATTGTCGGTGATGTTAATTATTTTTTCGCAAGGCAAAGGTGAAGATTATTTATTATTATTAATGTTTTTTTTATCGATTCAGGCAGGTGTCGTAATCCCGTGATCGATATTTATTATTATTTTTTTAGTGCACACGAGAGAATCAAGCAGAGCGAGTAGTGCAGATCGATGACAGAGATATGGTTCCAACGACGAAAAGTTGTTGGTTGGTAGAAGTCAATGTGTAAATGTGTGATGTTGAAGACGAACGCAGAAGTGAGATGGTAAAGAAAGAAGAAAATAATTAGAGAGTGTTTAGATTCTATCTTCTAGATGATTCTATTCGGTGTGCTATCATTAATTTTTTTATCCTCTCATTGAAACGAGGATTTTTTGGTTTTTTTTCTTTTTGATAATAATAGAATAATTTTGTATTATTTTCACATTTTTGGTAGATCATTCTCTCGTCTTTGAGCTTTAAAAATTGATTGTTGATGGAAGAGAATTATTGGTTATTGCTCTGGAATTAATTTATTTTTTGCAAATAATCGATTACTTTCTGTAATCTAATATTTATTTTTAGTGAAAAAATTTACATATAGTAAAGAAATTTAGTTTTAGCAAATATTTATTTTTAGCGCATATTTTTTTTAATGAAAAAATGTCTTTTTGGCAAATAAATATTTATTTGTTTAAATCAGTTTTTACCAAATAAATATTTATTTGATTAAATCCGTTTTTACCAAATAAATATTTATTTGTATTAAAGAAATTTCTTTTTATTAAATAAATATTTATTTTGCATTAAGTAAATTATTTTTTATCAAAATAAATTAATATTTCTATCACATAAATTTTTTTGCTAATTTTTTTATTAAGTTAATGCGTTAAGTAATTATTTAATTGAATTAAAATGTTATGAAAAATATAAAAGTTCATATGAACGAAATATTTTTTCACCAAAAGCATTTTTCTAAATTACAAAATAAAAGTCGAAAACAAATTAAATATTTTTAAACTCTGTAAATTATTTTTGAAAGCATGACTCAATATTTTTCAGAATAAAATTTTATATTGAAAAAGAAATATTTCCTTTGAAAATGAAAAATTATTCATTATTCATTTAAACATTGTACACTTTATGAACGAATTAAATAAATTTATTTTTATCGAATAAATATTTTTTTGTATGAAATAAATTGATTTTTATCAATTAAATATTAGAATGGTATTAAATAAATTTGATTTTAATCAATTAAATATTATATTGGTGTTAAATAAAATATATATTTACAACTGAACTAATTGATTATTTGAATTAAATAAAATTTCGTCATTGTAATTATTGCAAAAAAAAGCCTTAAGTTTACAAAATATAATTATTTTTTAATCACTTCAGGTGGTTTAAAATATTTGTTCGTACCGCATTTATTTAAATTTCATTTCATTTTTTAACTGATTTCATTTCATACGAATTCTAAGTAAAAATTTCTAAAATAATCTTTCCTGGAAAAAATTATTAAATTGAATTGAAAAAAATTTGGAAAGCCAATTTTCTTTGTTGATCCGAATCGTAACGACAGCACGCCTTTGTTTTTTCTATAAACTAGATATGAATGTATAAATAAAATCTACACTAAAATATTGCCTCGGCAACTTGACAGTAAATCTATTATATAACAATGAGAAATCAAGAAATAAATATATGAAGAAGATTGTTTAGAATAATGTACATAATTAATCATCTAGTGAAATAGGAATTTGAGATTAAGATTCCGGAGACTCTTGCTTTTGATATTAAAAAAAAAGAATGCTAAAAAATTTTGTGTTTCTAGAATTTTTTTTTTCTCTTTAAATTCATCATCATTTTTTTCCACATTTTAGTTTAACTTTAAAGTTTTGTTTGAAATTTTTTTTTTTTTGCGGAAATGAAAAATATAATTTCTATTTTTAGAAATATTTTTCTTTGTTTTTTTTTTATGTTTTTTAGAGAGAAAGTAATAATCCTTATATAGACTGAAAGTGACTTGAATTGAAGTTAACTTTTTTTTTTTTTTTTTTTTTTTGAGTAAAAGTTTATTTCCGTGAACGGAACAAACTATAATGATGTCTTACCTGTCGCAGACAATTGACTCGTGCTGTTGCTCTTCTTTCCCATTCCACTGCTTTGATACTGAACGGCACTGCCGCTACCACTACTTGCGCTGCCACTTTTACTCCCTGGTGAATTCTTTCGATTTCTCCTCGACGATTCTTCAACGTGAAGTCCAACCGCCGTGTCACTCAGGCTGCCATCTTTTTGAAAATGGGGGAAGAAATTTATTAAAACTGATTTAAGAATACATTTTTTGGGAAATTGTGTATCACTGACTAATAATTACTGGGAGTTTAACTTAACTTTTCTAGTTAATTTTTATTCAATACCCAAATAACTTCTAACCTGTGCCCCTCAAAATATTAGCACCCTTATATATTTACACTGAAAAAAAAATTCGGCAGATACACCTATAATTAGGTTCAAAAATGTAAAACATACTACTTACTGAAAATGATTTTTACCACTGATAATGAAATCACATGAAGAAAAAATATTTTGTTCGATTGAAATTGACTTTTACTACTAGTACTAATTGTTTTGTCTATTTGTATAATAGTAAACTTTACATTACATGAATGTAATCTGTCTGAGTAGAAATTATTTCTTTTTCTTATAATAAAAGTACAAGATTGTAAAATGCTGCCTGACTAAAACTGATTTGTACTACTGATAACGAAATTACACTAAGATGAAGTATTTTGTCAGACTGAAGTCTGAAACTACAGTTCAAAATTTAATAATTGAGACAAATACTGAGACAAATATACGTTTATTTAACTCAAAAAAAATATATTTCGTTAAAAAAAATTTTTATATGGGTGTAACCAGCTGTATTAGAATCAAAACATAATTGAAAAATTTTGTCGCTCGTAAAATTGACTTGTACTACTGATTTTTTTTACTAATAAAATATTTTCTTTTTCATATTGAGATTACTTAAATTTGTTTTCTTTCTGGAGGGCTCGAACTAGGTCCGTAAATCCCGTAAAAGTCCGTTATTTAAAAAAAAGGTCCATAAAGTCCGTAACTTGATTTAAAAACGAAATATTGGTAAATTGTACGATATAATTTGAAGAATTTTAGAGAAATTACAAATGATTGTAGAAATTCAATTATTTTCAAAAGTAATAAAATTCTTCGCAGAAATTCAATTATTTTCAAAAATTTTAATAAATTTTCATCAAAATTTCAATTATCTTTAGAAATAATTAAATTCTTCTCCAAAATTCAATTATTTTCCAAAATTTCCCTTAATTTAATGATTTTCAATATCTATTATTTTCATAAAATTTTCCAAAAGAATTCAATTAATTAAAAAAAAAAATTTAATAAAATTCTACACAAAATTTTAATTATTTTCAAAAAATAATAAAAATTTCACAGGAATTTCATTATTTACAAATTTTTTAAATCAATTTCTTCGCAATCGTTCAATTACTTTCATAAATAATTAAAATTTTTAAGGGTATTCAATTATTTTCGTAAATAATAAAATTCTTTTTAGGAATTCAATTATTTTCGTAATAATAATAAAACTCATTGTAGAATTTCAATTATTTTCAATACAATTTTAATCGAATTCCTCGAAAATCCTTGAAAAGGTTTCAGATTAAAATCTTTGAAAATTTGAATTTTTCATATTTTTAACTAACAATTCTGTGGAATTAATTTTTTTTGAGAAACTTTAATTGTGGATTTTTTTTAAAAATTATTTAAAGTTTTATTATCTAATATATACTATTTAATTGAAAAATTTACGAATATTTGAAATTTTGTAAAATTGAGTTGTAAAGGAATGAATTTTAAAATTCTTAAGTAACTTTTTCAAAAATTATTAAAAATAATGGATTTATAAAAGAATTTTAGTTAAAAACACGAAAGAAAATTCAATTTTGTAAAAGTTGCAATTTATTGCAAAAATTCAATTATTTTCAAGTGTAATAACATTCTTTGCAAAAATTAAATATTGTTTAAAATTAGTAAAATTCTTCTTAGGGATTCAATTATTTTCACAAATATTAAAACTGATTGTACAATTTCAATTATTTTTAATACAATTTTAATCGAATTTCTCGAAAAATGTAATTATTCTAAAAAATTTAATGAAAATTCGTTGATAGAAGTTAATTATTTGAAAACATGTTGATAAAATTCTTTATGAGAATTGCATTTTAAGAAACATTCAATTGTTCAATAAATTATTATTTATTTTTGTATTTAAATAATTGAATTCTAGTAGAATTTTTTAATAAAAATTGATTTAAAAATTAATTTCAGTTAAAATTTTAAATAACAATTGAATATAAAATGCAATACAGCTTGAATTTTTATTGGATCCGCCATCTTAAATTTGTAATATTTACGAGTTTTTTAAATGCTATGTGTTAAAGTTGTTTTTTAATAGATTCTTCTGCTTATTTTTATTTATATCTTGTTTACAGTCAGTTTTTTGCGAATTTTATTAATTTGTGAAGAAACTTGACGTGATGGCGGAAAACTGAGTTGTTCGGATTCGAATTTAGCGACCCAAAAAACATATAAAAAACATGTTCCGGTCAATACTTCCTTTAAATAAATTTTGTGGTCCTGTATAATAATTGAATTATAAATGATTTTTATCACTCGATCATCTTTAATTATTATAAAACATGAAGAAATCGATCACTCCGAGTTGAAGACTCGAAGATATCAATATCTTCATGTTTTACAGTTATGAAAAATTTAATTTCTAGTTTTAATTAAAATGTTCTCTTCTTTGACTCGGACTGGTTATATTTTTGTCAGTTGGTCCGTAAAGTCCGTATTTTGAAAACTTTTACTATTTCAAGCCCTGTAAACTGATTTGTACTATACTGATAATGTAATTAAATGAATTGAAATATTGAAAATATTTTGATATTAGAGTATAAACAGTAAATGTATATTTATGTATTTAAAATGAAGATATTCTCACCAACTTTCTCGTCCGTTGGTGCGTCGGTATTACTAAAGCTCCTCGTAAATTGACCCCGCTTGCTGTGGCCATTGTGATCGATCTCAGGCGTTTGATGTCTGGACGATTTTTCATAGGACCCACTCTGGCTGGTATAGTCACTGCTTTCGGGCATAGAGGACGATCGTCGATTATTTCCATCGTCGTGAGGGTGATCGTCGTGGTAGTCGTGCGTCGTCGATTGTTTCCGCGAGCGTTGTTGACGCGATGATTCGGAAGGTAGTAGTAGTAGTTCATAGGATTCGCCGCCGGTTGGCGTGTTCATGGCGACGAGTTGCGGTTTCGTGTGATGGTAACGTGATGTAGTAGTAGTAGTTGTAGTAGTAGTAGTAGTAGGAGTTTCGTGATGGTCGACGGTGGCCCGTGGGTTTTTAGCAGTGTCGGAGGTAGCGGTTTGGGAATCAAAGAGATTTGAATTAGCGTTACCGGGGCGGGGTGCTCGGTTACGGGGCCTACGTGGATCAGACGGGCCAAAGCCGCAGTTCTCGCTACACTGACTCTCGCTCTCCATCGAGTACTCGTAGTACTCGAGGGTGTCGCTTATCGCGACATTTCTCTTACTACCCTTCTTATCGACGAATTCCAATTCACGTGCCTCGGGACAACTGCTGTTGCGTCTGCGATACCGGTGCTGCTGTCTTATCTCGGCCGACATTCTCTCCCTCTGATATTCTCGCTCAGTTCTCTCGGCCTGGAGCATTTCGAGACACTCCGGACAACTTGTTTTTCTCTTTTGATTATCGTAATATTCATCTTCGGCGTATTTATCATAAAGTGGAATTTTGCTTCTGTTTAACGTTCTTTGGTAGTTACGATCGATGACCGTGTCCATTGAGCCGAAATTCTCGTCGGCGTAGAAGAGAAGATCGGATGGACTGTCGTCGTTCGTTGGGGGACTGTCGAATGTGCGGAAGGCCTCCGGACAACTGGTGTTACGTTTTCTTTTGTACAATTTTTGGGTGCGTCTATCATCGTCCATGAGATCTTGATCGAAGTAGAGAATTGGAGTCGATCTGGCGCGATTTCGCATTTTTTGGGTCTGTTGCCTAGGCTGATTGTCACGAGCGATCGTCACTAAGTCTTCGCGAATTGGATAATCATCGTAATAACTAATATTATCGTTTCTTCTTCTTGGAAGTCGGGGGATATTTTCGTATTCTACGTTATCAAAATTTATTGATTGTGGATAATAACTATTATAAGAATCAGTCTCAAGGCGAGAAGTATTTCTGTGTTTTCGCACAGTTTTATCACTTGGTTTTCTCCGGTCGTAAACTGGATAACGATAATAGGCCTCTGGATTGTAAATATCAGTTCTTTCTTGAGAAAAATAATCAGGCTCCTCCTCCTCCCAATCGTAGGAGTAGTCGTCTAGATATGAGTCTGTACTTTTGGTACGTCGGCGACGATTTTTTCGATTGTAATCAAAGAATTGATCGTGGTAGGGATATGAGGTGTGCTCGTAATCGTAATCACAGTAGGGTAACATAACATCGTCTATACTACAATATATGTGATCGTTTGACTCGAGAGGACTGTAGAGATCATCGGCTAAACTTCGCGATTTCTCTCGCTTACTATCAATATCATGATAAATTGACTCGTGTTTTCGTTTAGTTGCAAAATCATCGGATTTATTTGTAGAAAAACGTGTTGTATCACTAATGGGGAGATAAATTTCCGTTTCGCCGGCGCTCAGTTCGGAGTCATAACCATAAAGCAGTCTTTGTTGTTCTTGATTAGCAGTGAATTGATCGAAGGCTATTTGTTCAATGGCCAATTGTTTCATACGAGCTTTATTGTCGCCATTTGAATCATAATAGGATTTGCTCTGATCTTTCAGAGCAGGAATTCTATCACCGTAGGAAGAATCGTTGAGGGAGAGATTTTTTTTCACCTTCTCCCTGGCAGTTCGTAGACTATCGTCACTAAATATATTTGAGGATAGAACGTCGTAATCGAAACTTTTTGCCCTTCTCGACACGGATACTAGTTTTCTATTAAAATTCGTGGTGGCATCATTATTGATGATTAGTCGGGAGTTCTTTAGGACTTCATTGTCAAAACTTTTGGCTCTTGAGAGTAAAAAAGATCTTCGTTGTCTGGCGAGAGTTTTATTTCTGATTTCATTGTTTCGAAGATCGAGGCGTTTGTAAGCGAAATCTGTGGGATTTAAACTCTCGAGGAAACTTGAATATCTTGGAGTCTTTCGACTTCTTGTGGAACGATCCTGCCAACTGCGGGATCGTCGATGTGAACCAAAATCATAACCATAGGGTGGTAAATAACGTGAGCGAAATTTATCGACAAGACGGTCGTTAAAATTGACCTGGAGGCAGTCTTCGATGTAGATTTCCGGAATGCGTTTTGTTGCACTTGTACCGGTAAGGCTTTCTGGCTTGAGAATGAGGCCCTCGCAGACACTGTATTCGCTTGTCGCTGGACTGTAATATCTCAACATATTCTCATCGACAGTCTGCGATCTTGTGAAGGGCGTTCGCATTTTTCTATATAGCGAGCGAACAACTGCGGATTTGCTCCGTATAAGGGGGTGCGAGGGAAGGTGATGCTTGCTAGGGTTGTTTTTTGGTTTGATGGGATAGTTGTTTGGGCAATGACATTCGCTGCAGGGTACCCTAAGTCTGTGCTTGCGCCTATTGCGCCTAGGGGGTGGGGGTACTGGGGATATGACACCGGGTATTAAAACGTTTTTAACTGTCGGTCTGTAAACAATTTTTCATATAGAGTAGTAAAGTTCCTTCGGAATACATTTTAAATAGCCCATTCTTTACAATTAATGCGTTCTAGTCGATCGAAACTGTCAGTTATTATAAATACAATTTAAAGAGAAAATGAAAACTTTCCATTTATTGATAAAAAGGAAGAGTACATTTTTTGTCGCAATGTATCATCAAATGGTAATGCATCATTTTCTTGAATGTGAAAACTGGAAAATCGAGATTTCTGACCGCTTCTGTCGACCATCGCTTGATTTTAATTCGAACCCTGATTCGTTAGAATGGGTAACTATCTATCGATTATTAAATGGACATTGACATACAGTGCAAAGGATGTGCAACTAGAACTATAGAAATAGAAAATAGTATCTTTAGATCTAGAGAGAGAAAAAATTGGGACACCTATATTTAGATTGCAAGCAGGAATGTGAAAAGAAAAGAGAAAGAACCTAAGGGCGATATTCATTTGACAATGTCCATTTAATTCAGGGATTATCGTTATAGAGGATGGACTGCAGTTGTTACACTTTTGCATTTGATTGATTGATTGATTGATTGGTTTACCGGTTTCTTTTTTTTCCGTTTAAATAATGGACGAGAGACGCATCGAAATGCAACTTCCGTAGTCAATTCTCTTAATGGGACGTGTACTCCTAAGGAGACTGTCTTTGTACAAATGAAGTCGTACGTGATTATTAATCGACTCGATGTTACGTTGATAAATAAAGAAAGCAAATATTTTTATATACGTATAAATAATGAATTATACTCACATTAATCCCCTCGAACCACGTGGTCGCTCTGATTGTGTGCTGAAGGCACTACTTGTTACGGAGGCTATACTCTCCATATCAGAATCGCCAAGATCGGCAAGAACATCTTTATCGGGACTTAGACGATCTCTTCGTGATCTGTGTAATCTGTGGAGATGAGTGTGTGAAAGGGAGTGTGGATCGTAACTCATTGACGGTAGATCTGAGTCTGAGAGACCAGTAATATGTTTCTCGAAACCTAAAGATTCAAAGTTTAAAATTAGAAATTGGAAATTAAAGAATTCTTAACTAATTAATTAAAAATTAAAAGCGAACAAATTTAAAAAGTAGAAATTTATATTCTCGTACTGGAATTTCGATATGAGTGCATTGGTCTACTGCGATGTTTAATGAATCTCGCTCTATCGGTGAAATCTCCGACTCCTCGATCCTTCAGGGCTATTTGCAAATTTTGAGGTATCTGAGGCAATTGACGCTTTTTCGGAGATCCAGTTGGAGTTGCTGTCGCTGATCTTGATGTAAATCTGAAATTTTTTGGCCATAATTTAGTTCTATTTGCTAAGTAAATTTTTTTGTGAAATAGAAATAGATACGATAGTAAACAATTTTACAATTTTTACGTTCCCAGATAAAAATAAAGATCTATACAATTTCCCTAGAATCATTTCATATGAATTTTAGTTAATATTCTACAGAAATTTTTAGCTGGGTTAGTAAAATAAAAAAATTTTTAAAAAGTTTTTAAATACTTAGAATATAAATGTGAAATTAAAATTAGCTACGATAATAAAAATCGCTATGCTAATAATTTCATTAAAAAAATAGAAATAAAAAAAATTTCGAAGAATAGTTTAAAAATGAAAGTAATTTTTGAATTTTATACATACCTAGCTGCCATGTAACTGTGTGAATAGGGAACAGATCTATGATCAGGAGGTGAAAGAGAACGATGACCTGTAGGACTTTGCGACCTTCTTCGATAATGATGAGAATCCATCAGCGCTGCGCTATGGGACCTGTGGCTTAATGTGGCACGATGTGAATCATCCTAACAAATTAAATTTTCGTTTTATCAATTATTATTCCTGGAAAACTTTTTTAGAGTCATGTTCATTTAAAAATGTTCCATGTTGAGTGGAAAAATGCAGTTTTAATCAAAAGTACATAGTACACCTAAATTGAAAAATTAGGTTGATGCATTATAAATTTAAAGAATTGTAGCAAAAGTTTTCTGTTTTATTGTTTTATTCTCGTTCGTAATTTTAAAGAAAATGTTAAAAATTTATTTTTTTTTAAAGGAAATTAGCGATACAAATGATTTCTTTAATTTCTTTTTTTAATAACAGAATATGAATTGTCTGACTAAAACTGATTTTTCTACTGTTAATAAATTTACAAAAATTGAAATTTGTCTGAATAGAATATATTTCTACTACTAGCAGAAAAATTTTGTTTTGCTTCTTTAATGATCATTGGCCTGATTTCTTGACCAAAAAATATAAAGTTGTATTTTACATTCTTTTCTTAGATTTTTATTCTTTTTCTCGTAAGTTTTTGATGGAATTTTTTGATAGCCTGATATTTTGATTAAATATACATATATCTATATGTGGGAAAAATATATTATATGGATCAATATGAAATCGTACCTTACGATAGTGTTGATAACTGGAAATGGAAGCGGAATGGTCTCTAGTGCTCATAAGCGCTGGTCTTTTACAACCTTGCGGTGACATATCCCTTCGACTTCGATGCTCACCGTCCACACAGAATTCCTTTTCAGGTGGCGGACTAGAATAGTGGCTGTTCCAAAAGGCGTTCATTTATTTCGTTAATTTTGTGTTCATAAATAATATGGCACTTATAAACTAAATGAAATGAATTTTTTTAATATAGTGATAGGGTAATTCCCATTTACTCCAAAATATCTAAAAATATGATTTATAAACCAACTGATTTTGTTTTTTTATTTTTTTTTTACTTTTTCATTTTAAATTTTATTCAAAAACCAATTTTACTTATTTTTTCTACTTTTAAATATGATTTATAAACGAACTGATTTTCTTTTCTTTAGTTTTAAATCTAATTTTTAAACTAATTTTATTTATTTTTTACTTTTTGGTTCATAAACCATTTTTTTATGATTTTTTTTTTATTTTAAACATTTAAACTGAATTTATTTCTTTATAATTTTTTTGGTATTGTGAATGCGAATCACCTATCACAGAATAGCAAAATTCTAGACTCTAGAAGCTCATTACATTTTTTTTGTTTGAAAGTTTCTAATTAATAATCAATATAGTTATTTATTCTTTATTTTTATTTTATTTATTACCTACAATGTTTTAAATGTACGTATATTTATGTAAATTTTTTTATATTCATTTTCTTAAATTTACTTGTAGGTTGTAAGAAAATGAAATTGGTCAGGAAAATCAGGAAAATGAAAGAGTAATTTATCAAAAGTACTTGGAAAATATCCAATTTCTATTATTTGATCTTAGAAAATTTCAATTCTTTTAAAGAAATTGAAAATAATTAGGTACTGATTCAAAAAATTATTTAAGTTTCAAATAAATTCTATTTAAAATTCTGAAAAATTAGGTTTTTAGAAATTTTTAATTCAACATTTTTAAAGTTACTTGAATTTTTGAAAACATTTTAATTATAATGCTTAGAAATATAATATAATACTTAAAATTAATTGAATTTTGTGAAATTGAATTGAAAATAATCATTGTTAAAAAATTAGTTTAGAATTTTAATAAATAAAAATTCAATTTTTAAAGAATTTTAATTTAATAATTGTGAAATAATTGAATATTTTGAATCGTCAGAATCGAAATTAATTGAATTAATTGAAAATTAATTAATTAATTGAAAAAATAAATTGAATTTTGTGAAATTGAATTGAAAATAATCATTGTTAAAAAATTAGTTTAGAATTTTATTAAATAAAAATTCAATTTTTAAAGAATTTTAATTTAATAATTGTGAAATAATTGAATATTTTGAATTGTCAAAATCGAATATATTTATATGCTTATTAGTGTTAAAAATAGAATTGAAAAGTCCAAACTGCATATAAAATTAATTAATTTCGAAAGAGTTAGAACTACAATTTTTCTTAACTAGTTAATTTTCAAACGATTTAAAATTAAATTTTTTCTAAAACTTGAGGTGTCGCAAAGTTTTATGTAAAATTTTGAAAAGTTTGTCTTTTAAAATATTTCAATGATATTGTTTAAAAATAATTGAATTTTTATGGACAAATAATTGTAAAGTTTTGAAATAATTGAATTTTCCTAAAATTCTATCCAAAATAATTGAATTTTTTAAAAAATTCTGTTAAAAATAATTTAATTTTTTTAAAGAATTATTTGAAAATAATCAAAGGAAGTTAACTACGGTAATTAATTTTATTTTTAAAATATCTTGACACCCTAAAGTTTTAAATCAAATTTTTAATTTAAAAAATTATCTCTCTTTACAATTAAACTTCTTTTGAATATTTTCGTAATTTTTTATTTTTGTGATTTTCGGTCTGTAATGCAGGAAAATGTCAGGGAATAACAATAAAATTTTTTCGTAACCCTGTAGCGGATTTTTTTTTTTTTTGTAAACAAAAAAATTCGATTTTTATTTTATATTGAATATTAATTAGACACTTTCGCCTCAATAATGATTTTTAATGAAATCTAACGAATATTAACAAGGTTAAACGTTAATAGAATTAACTAGTTTCTAATTTTTTTTTGTTTTTTATTTCTACTAGTCTTGTAGCGAGTACAAAAAAAAACTCCTAATTAAATTATAATACGGGAAAAATATTGTAACATTCTTTGTTGTAATTAATTGCATTCAGTATATTATGATAAAAATTACTGCAGGAAAATCTTTTGTTCTTTTTCTCTCTTTTTCTTGATACATTCATATATTAATAATTAAGGGATTCATCTAGATGATAGGTTTTAAAAGATATTCTAAATTCTAGCAATGAAAATACGCTAGACACATGATGAATATCGTGAATAAATATACATATAGATAACTTAAAACCGTACCGCTTATAATTTGACGGCATATTATGAAACCTAAAATAATAATAATAAAATCAGAAAATATTAAAAAACCGTTTGTGAAAATGACTATATTTGTGATTAATTTAAAATTGAGAAATCATTTTTCTAATAATGTGTGAAAATTTACTTAACGTCAAAAGTCTTGCGGATAAGAAAATAATTGCATATAGTTAATATTATGTGATTATTAATTTATTTTTCAGTGAAAATTACTTAGTGCTAAGTAAAAAATCACTCCTTGTTGAGTCTATACACAAATATTTTTTTTTATGGTAGATTTTTGACGCATTTTAAGTAAACTTTTCACGAAAATATTTTATTAATGAATGGAATTTTGTCAAAATTATTTTATTCGCATCAAGAAGAAAAATTCACTGCATAAATTAGAAACAAAAAACACAAATGATAGAGAAATTTTGTCAAGGTTATCATTATCGTACACTTGAAATAGAAATAAAGTGTCACGCGGCGTTCCGTTCGGCGGAATGAATTCATCACTAGATTCGCGAAACCCTTTTAAATAATCCTATTAGATGATATTGAACATTTATTAAATATGTGAGAACAGTGAAAATCATTTCGCGTGTGTTTTACCCGAGCATTTTGGATTTTTCGATCACATTTCTGTAAAAAAAAAAAGCTTTGCAATTATAATAACAACTAATACGCGGATTAAGGCATTTCAAAACAAAAATTACTGTTTTGTATAGTATTCCAAACGATAATAAGAGAACATTTTTCGAACTTTTTTTTATAACTTCCCAGTCGAAAAAATTCTATAGAATTCTATTCAGAATGATTGTGTGGTGCGATTTTTTTAATTTTTCCCAGGATACATATTTAATTATCAACTTCTTAATATTTCTAATTGTAAGCTAATTTCTTTATTGTTTTTAATTGTTTTATTGAATAATTTTAACATTATTTCTATTTATAAAACCAAATATCTATAATTATAATTTAAATTATTTAAACCAATCAATTATCGATTGTCGTGAAAATTAATTATCATCATCATCATTCATATTATTCGTGGTTATTGAAAGGAAATTGAGAAATTGTTGCGATTTGTAATTAACTGAAGTACTAGATAAATATGAATAATACCAGGGTTTCCATAAGTCAGGAAATACAAAACTTTCAATTTCTTTTATTTCTGACAACAATTTCTTTTTAAATAACTTAATTCCTGAAGAACTATCATAAAATTATTACTTAGAAATTATTTAATGAATAATTTTACTTGAATATTTCGAAATTAGTTGAATTTCAAAAGAAATTAATTATTAAAAATAATGGATTTATGGAAGAAAAAGAAATTCTAATTTATAACTGAAATGAAAACAATTGAAATTGGATTTAAAATGAGATCGATAATTCTAAAGTTGAACTTGTGACCTCTTGTGTATGTATGTATGGTTGTTGAGGAATTGAAATCAGAAGTTGAATCATTACTGTTAGAGGGGAGAGGATTTTTACCTCGTGAACATCATTTGTAAGTTCGATAGACCCTTGACACACCTCCGATCTATGAATTCAAAACGAAGAACTGGATTTCTCACATCATATCAATGCAAACTCTCGGGCCAATGCACCGCACACCATCTCTATATACTATATCGATGAGAACGGCACTTAGAATCTAATTACCAGCCACCAGCTATAATTCAACTTGCACAGTGCTGTTTACTCTTAGGTCAGTGATCTCTTTCAGAGCATTTGTCATTCAATTTAATAAAGATCGATCAGCGCAAAATTCTCTCTATTTTGAAACAAAATTTGAAAATTTCCCCCAAAAGAAGAAAAAATTAAGAAAAACAAAGATTTTCCGATTCTTTTTTATGAGATGCACTGTTTTTCTGAGGATATCAGGGCTTGAACTAGGTCCGTAAATCCCGTAAAAGTCCGTAACTTTGCTTGAAGTCGGTAAAAGTCCGTTTTTTAAAAAAAGGTCCGTAAAGTACGTAATTTGATTCAAAAAGGATGAAAAGTTTGTAAATTGTACGATATAATTTGGAGAATTTTAGAGAAATTACAAATGATTGCAAAAATTCAATTATTTTCGAAAGTATTAAAATTATACGCAGAAATTCAACTATGTTCAAGTATTTTTAAAAAATCTCATCAAAATTTCAATTATCTTTATATAGAATTAGAAATAATTAAATTCTTCTCCGAAATTCAATTATTTTCAAACATTTTCCTGAATTCAATGATTTTCAATATCTACTACTTTCATAAAATTTTCTTAATGAATTCAATTATTTTTAAAAAAATTCAATAAAATTCTACACAAACTTTTATAATTATCTTCAAAAAATAATAAAAATTTTACAGGAATTTCATTATTTACAATTTTTTTTTATAAATTTCATCGCAATCATTCAATTACTTTCATAAATAATAAAATTTTTACGGGGATTCAATTATTTTAGTAAATAATAAAATTCTTTTTAGGAATTCAATTATTTTCGTAAATAATAAAAATCATTGTGTAGAATTTTAATTATTTTTAATACAATTTTAATCGAATTCCTCGAAAAAATTCTTAAATTTAAAATTAAAAATTCAATAAATTGTTATTTTTGTATGAAAAAAATTTAATTCTAGTAGAATTTTCTCATAAACATTAATTTAAAAATGGATTTCAGTTAAAATTTTAGATTATAATTGAATTTTAAAAGCATTAGATCGAGCATTAGATCGTCAATTTTTAGAAATAATTAAATTTGGAAAAGATTTTAAATTAAAATCTTTGAAAATCAGAATTTTTCATATTTTTGACTGAAAATCAGTTAAAAATAACTGAAATTTCAGTCATTTTTCACTGATTCGACAATTAAAAAACTACTGAAAATTTCTATCACACATATTAAAAATTTCAGTTATTTTTTAATTGTCCAATCAGTGAAAAATGACTAAAATTTCAATCATTTTTAACTGATTTTTAGTGAAATTTCACTGATTCAAATCGCGAGAATAGAGTCACTGATTCTCAGTCAAATTTCACTGATTCAGTTTTAGAGAGTAGAAATAATTCAATTCTTCTCTGAAATTCGAACATTTTCCTGAATTGAATGGTTTTCTATATCTACTATTTTCATAAAATTTTCCAAATGAATTAAATTATTTTTAAAAAAAATTTAATAAAATTCTACACAAACTTTTATAATTATTTTCAAAAAATATTAAAAATTTTACAAGAATTTCATTATTTACAAATTTTTTTATAAATTTCTTCGAAATCATTCAATTACGTTCATAAATAATAAAATTTTTACTGGGATTCAATTCTTTCGGTAAATAATAAAACTCAATGGAGAATTTTGAATTACTTTTAATACAATTTTAATCTAATTCCTCGAAAAAATTCTTTAAAATTTTATTAAAATTCGTCAAATGAATTCAGTTAGGTATTTAAAAATTTATTGATAAAATTCTTTATGAAAATTCAATTTTAAAAAACATGAAAATATTCAATAAATTGTTATTTTTTTATTTAAATAATTGAATTCTAGTAGAATTTTCTCATAAACATTGATTTAAAAATGGATTTCAGTTAAAATTTTAGATTATAATTGAATTTTAAAAGCATTTGGGCGTAAATTTTTAGAAATAATCGAATTTTGAAAAGGTTTTATATTAAAATCTTTGAAAATTTGAATTTTTCAAATTTTTAAATAACAATTCTGTGGAATTAATTTTTTTTGAGAAACTTTAATTGCGGATTTTTTTTTGAAATTATTTAAAGTTTTTATTTTCTAATATATATTTAATTAAAGAATTTACGAACAATTGAAATTTTGTAAAATTGAATTGTAAACAAATAAATTTGAAAATTCTTTAAAGAACTTTTTCAAAAATTATTAAACATAATGGATTTATAAAAGATGTTTAGTTAAAAACAGGAAAAAAAAATTCAATTTTGTAAAAGTTACAAATTATTCTTCGCAAAAATTAAATATTCTCAAAAACTAATAAACTTCTTAGAGATTCAATTATTTTCACAAATAATAAAACTCATTGCAGAATTTCAATTATTTTCAATACAATTTTAATCGAATTTATCGAAAAATGTAATTATTCTTAGAAATGTTATTATTATTCATTGATAGAATTCAATTATTTAAAAATTTGTTGATAAAATTCTTTATAAGAATTCAATTTATAGAAACATTTAATTATGCAATAAATTATTTATTTTTGTATTTAAATAATTGAATTCTAGTAGAATTTTCTAATAAAAATTGATTTTCATTTCATAAAAATGAATTTTAGTTAAAGTTTTAGATAATAATTGAATATTAAAAGCAATATAGCGTGAATTTTTAGAAATAATTGAATTTTGAAATTAATATTTTTGAAAAAGGTTAATTGAATTTTTTTAATATTATTTTAAGTTTTTATTTTTCTAATATTTATTTAGTTAAAGAATTTACAAATAATTGAAATTTCGTAAAATTGAATATTGTAAGCAAATGGATTTGAAAATTGTCAAAGAACTTTTTCGGAAATTATTAAAAATAATCGATTTAAAGAAGAATTTTAGTTAAAAATTCTTGAAAATAATAATTGAATTGTAAATTATTTTATAAATTTGCCATTTTTCATAACTATAAAGAATGAAGAAATCGATCACTCCGAGTCGATAACTCGGAGTTGTCGATATCTTCATGTTTTATAGTTGTGAAAAATTTAATTAAATAGTTTTAAGTAAAATATTCTCTTATTTTACTCTGAATTTTGATACATTTAAGTTAGCTTTACAAATTTTTTCGATAATAATAAAGGATAACTTTGCCATTTTATCGATATGAAAAAATAACTGAGCGATTTTATTCAATAATAAAGATTTTTTTTTCGACAACAAAGAAAATTATTCGTTTTTTCTTGCGATATTATATATATAAAGAAAAACCTTTCAGTTTAAAGTGTTCATTAAGAAAATCGATTACAACCGAGAAAAACAATAAGAGAGAGAGGAGAGAAAAAAAATCATATGATCTGTGAAA